CAGCAACAACAACAACCACAACAACGACGACGACGACGACAACAACGACGGCAGCGGCAGCGGCAGCGACAGCTGCAGCAACAGCGACAGCAAGACAAACAGCAACAGCCAAAAAACAAACAACGACAACAAGGCAAAGTGGGAATCTCCGAAGCTGTCAACCCCAGCTATGTCTATAGCATCGGTGGGCCTGGCACATCTCTGCTGTCTGTCTGTCTGCCTGCCTATCTGTTTGTCTGTCTGTCTGTTCGTCTGTCTGTCAGTCTGCCTTCCTGCCTGTCTGCCTGTCTGCCTTTCTGCTGGGACCTTCTTAGTGTCCGTGTTACAAGGGTGCTGCAGAGTCCCAACCTGCCTATCGTACCCCAAAGCCAATGGCCAGCCATGACCTTCAGCATCTTGCTTTCCTCAGGTTGAGGGTTCAGGCTGAAGCATTTCGGGTTTAAGCTGCGCTACAATAGATTTGGGGTTCGCGCTGCTCGGGATCGAAAGCAAAAGTGTAGGCGGTCTGCAACAAGGGACGCGTAGCCCTTAGACCCAACCGGAAATCCGGAACCGTAAACCACACTCTGAATCCTGCTGAGGGCTTAAGGTTTAAGCTTTAGAGTTTAAGGTTTCGGGTCATGAAACCAAAACAGACTACACCATCCGAACATCTGCATCCACCGAACGCCCTAAATCCTACATCCAACGCTAAACTCCGAGAAGACCACAGCTTGCACTATATACTACAAGACTTTACAGCGAAAACAGGTCCTCCAAAACCCTTCGGAACACTTCGATATCTTACATTCCTACACCCCCAACTCTAAACCCCAAAGTTGCCCTCAACTCTAAACTTACCCCAAGCCTGCACCTTGAAGCGCAGACGATCAACACTATAACCTACGTTCTAAGCCCTGTGACACAAACCCTACCGAACCCCACGACTCCCGGAATCCCTTCTAGAACCCTTACACTAGCCTTACAGTGCATTAAAGGAACCATTGATGCAATCCTTACAAAAAAATCCGTATAAACTTACAGAACCTTGAAGGAACCTTGAAAGGAACCCTGAGAGGAACCGTCCAGAGAACCCTTACTGAAACTCCGCACTCTTCGGTCCCAGCAGCCGCATTGGCCAAAAGCAGCACCGAGGCGCCAAGCGGCGCCCAGCCAAAGACCAACATGAGCCGGGCCTCGGAAGGGTTTAGGGGTCGGGTTCAGGGTTTGGGAATTTAGGGTTTAGGGATCTAGGGTCTAGGGTTTGGGAATTTGGGATTTGGGGTTAGAGTTTTAGGGTTTAGGTTTTTTGAAGGCCTTTTGCCACAGCAGATTCTGTAGAGAGCCCCCAAAGAGAAATAAATTCCTTCTTCCCTCCGGCTAAACTCGCCCTGAAACCGCATGCTGTCACGAATTGTCAAACATTGCCAGCCTGTTAAATACATAGACTTACCGCAGTCCTCCGACAGAGGGCTCCTGCCGCTCCCGTCCTACTGCACATTCGACCGACCAATCCCCCTTCATATTCGCTCCGTGCTCTATTGAAAATAATGCTACTGCTTGGAGCTACTACAGCTACGGGCCGGTCATGCTACCCATCTTGAGCTTGTCATCATTTTGATATGGGGGCCTCAATTATTCCCAATACTGTTGCTTTTTTGGGGGGTTCCTTAGTAAAACTATAGTCTAATGCACCCAACACCCTATTCTAATTACTAAGGCCCCTATATTAGTTGCTCATGTTTTTGCAGCGGACCTGCATGTCGATGGCACGCTTGCGACCGTCGAGCTGCACAGTGGCCACCTCTGACGACTGAGATACGGCAGGAGGGTTCGGGGTTCTATAAGGGATCTATATGGCGGGTTCTATAGGGGTTTAGGGTTTTGTGGATCAGGGTTTCGGGATTTAGGGTTCAGGGTTGTGAGGGTTCGGGGTTTGGGGGGCATGCGTTGAGTTGCTCGAGCTTTTTTGCATTCGCAAGTTAGCTGGAAATTCGGAACAGTTAAGCGGTCGGCCAAGGACTTCGGGCCTCCCAAGGTAGTTCTCCGGTTGAGGGGCTCGGTTCTTGCACTGACTGTGATGACAGCTGCGACGATGACTGCGAAAAAACAAGTCAAACAGACTGCGTCGGAACGCGATCCTCGCTGGGCGGCAACGGCATCAGGTTTCGACTTTCGGGTTTGGGGTGTGTAAGGATTTGGGTTCAGGGTGAAAGCCATTAACAGTATTCTGGTTGTGGCTTTCGTTTCTTAGCCTTGCGGCTGTGACGACGAGCAGTGTCATTGCTCTCATGGTCAAAGTGAATACTGGTCGAAAAACAAAATCTGTCCAGTTGGTTATTGCTACAGACAACTGTTCCAACACGAAGACTGCTTAAACGCAAATCACCCCCCAACACAGGTCACGACGTTTCATCCACAAGCAACAGGAAACCTCAAAACTTCGGTCTAGGTTTTAACCGTTAAACCCTAAAATCTGGGGTCTAGGGTTAGGATTTAGGGTTTGGGGTTTGAGGCTTAGTTTAAAGTTTAAACCTTGAGGGGTTAGGGCTTAAGGCCAACAAAGCTGTAGAGCCTCATCTTGGCTCGATACGAGCCAGTCGCATTGCACTGTAAGCACCTGGCAAAGGCTCTTACGGCTCAGGGTTTAACTAGCACCTAATTGGGTACTGCCCCCATACCAAAACAAAAATACTTATATTACAAACATTCTTCAACTGCTACCGAGTGCAGGGACTGCGGGCACCATCCAGACCGAACCCTAAACCTGAAACCCCAGGCCCAGGAAAGGGGGTCTAGGGCGCTCTTTCGGCTTGAAGGGGTTTTTGCATTGGTTTGAATTTGGATCGTTCGCAGCTAGATACTTCGGAGCAAGGAATTTGCTTTCTTGAACCTAGTATCTGAGTACTTTCATTTGTTCATCTACCTCCTGCAAGTCCACATCCAACACCTCGGCACGCAGCAGGCAGGAGTCTTCGGGAATTCAAGCCCGTTAAGACGTGCTAGGCAGGCTAAAGATTATACAAAACCTCGCGACAAGCATTCGCGTTTACGCAGACCTCGCACGCTTTCCACTTGTTTGTTAAAGACCCTCTGGTCTAATATAGGGGCCTTAGCAGTTGGAATAGGGTGTTGGGGTATATTCTACTATAGCTATAGTAGGGAAGCCCCAAAAATAGAATTGGTCATTATTCAAGCCCCTATATGAACCCGTCCTAGCCCCCCAACCCGCCCTGCACAAATCCGAAACCTGAAGCTTGGACCCCAGACCTTCAACTCCAAACCCTACCTATGGTCTCCAGGGTTACCTTGTAGGATCCTAGCTATCAAACTGTTAAACCAAAAGAAGAACTACAAATGGAGACTTTTGGTAAAGCCTGAAGCCCAAAAACTTAAACCCTAAACTCCAAAGCCCTAGCGTCAGGATCTTGCTTCCGTATAAGAGAACGGTAAATCATGGGCTGAGAAAGAAGCAAGATGGAGACACGGCAAAATGCGAGAAAGCTGCTGTGCTTTGATCTGCAAAGGCATAGAAAAAAAGGCGGTTTCACGCTCTGGCCGAAAGGCCTGAATTCAGGATTTGAACAACAATGTGGTTCTTAAAGGCGTTGGAAGGCAAAAAGCTCGAATGGAACAAGTTTACACCGATAACTCACCAACAAAAAGAAGAAGCAAAGGCTTGCTTTCTAAGGAAGAACAGGCTCCAACCCTCAAGCCTTAAACCGTGTACTTCAATTTCATGGGCGCACCAAGAGGCCAGCTGCCAGAGCCAGTGTCCAGGAGCCAGGACAGCGCGGAGACCTGAAGAAGGCCCGGTCCCCTCAACACAAGTGGCCTGCAATGGTCTCAGCAATGAGAATAAGGGTTTAGGGACTACGGGTTCCTGCATAGGGTTTTATATTTGTAATCGGTTTTTATAATGTAAGGGCACTAATTCATGGAGGAGGGTTTGGCGTACATTAGACTATATAACTATAATTGGAAACATAAGGAATAGTATTGGCATTTAGTTAGGCTTATATGATAGCCCACGTAAACTCGACCTGCCGAGACCTTATAATTAATGTCTACGATAGGGTTTTGCGCTCTGAAGTATATTACACCGGAGGAGAACTTACTTTTAACCTGATGCGACATCCTGAAGTGCATGTTTGCGACTGGGCTGCAATGCCGACAGCTTCAATGTGCAGAGGGCGGGCAGATGATGTAAGAGGCCGGGCACGCTTTTGACACTACCCAAGTCTCCGAATTTGGAACCGCGAAAGGACAAGACCATGGTCAATGAGTATGATCTGAAACATACTGTAGAGCCGCACAGACTGAAAATCGACAGAAATTCGACTTAAAGTCAAAGGTAACGGAACTAATCCATTCCCCCTAATATTAAGCGGAGGGGCCCCCACCCCCTAACAAAAACTCGGAAAGTGCGTTTTACTAGAAGGGGGTATTTTATCTCCTCGGTCGCTTTTGAGGGAGCTTGCTCTGGGTGCTGCTCTGGCTCTTGCTCCTGCTGCATTTCTTGCTCTCGCTCCTGCGTGTACTTTTGCTCTTGCTTTTGCCCCTGCTCTTTCTCTTGCTTTTGCTCTTACTCTTGCTCTTGCTTTGCTCCTGCTCTTACTCCTGCTCTTGCTTTTGCTGCTCTTGCTCTCACTCCCGCTCTTGCTCCGGACCCCTGCAAATCAGGTTTTAAAGGGCAGGGATGATTTCGGGAGGATTGGCCCCAAAGTCTTATCATAAGGGGGTGTTGCATAAACGGGGGAAGGTGCGCTAGTAACGTGAACCACGCAAGGACAACACGACGACCAAAAGAATCATGCTTCTAAATTGAGGCCAGAAAGAACAACAGGACTAGCCGGAGCAGAAATATAACCTTATAAGCATAATCCCCAAACCCGTAACCCTAAACCCGTGAACAAAACCCTAAACACCAATCCCTAAACACTAATCTCCAAACCCTAAACCCCTGATGGCAAGTGGCGGAAGCCAGGTTGCCATGATCATGGTGCTCAAAGTCTCCGGGAGGCGCCGGTACGGCAGCGACCAAAGACTCAGCAGGCATCTCATGTTAGGAGTTTAGGGTTGAGGGTAAGGGCAAGCGTGCAAACAGTTGTCACTCAGTCATCAACCATGCAAGGCTATTCGCGAGGGTTCCTCAATCTAGCTCATCTAATCAATAAAGCCCCACATCTGCCAGGGTTGGCATTGGTACGGTTGAGTTTACAAATCAGAACCAGCTGCTACTTTCTGCGCACATGTATGCAGATATGTGAATGGAAAATCATTTGTACAATACATCCACTCTTGTAGTAACTTCAAAGTATCTGCTTGCGAATAATGTGTATTATCATGCAGACATGCGTAACTCCTACACCTTCAGGCCTCAAATGGTGGGACCGTGGTAGGAACAAACCAGGATGCCTTGGGGAGTGCCCCACCTACCTTCATCCCGCCTGTGGATGCCTTTGGAGCCCTTTGAAGCAAGCGCCCGAAGCTAAACTATCCTCCCAAGCATCAGATTCTCATCACCCAGGTCTTCTTGGAGGATGCTGTGCAGAGCGACCGCCAGCAGAGCTCCCTGCATGCCCATGGCAGGGGCGAGGGTACGTGAGGATCTCCCGGGTTTGGCAGCAGATAGAGCAGGCTCTGGGGTTTAGGTACCCTAAGCCTTAACCCGACATCCTATCTCTCAATCCAAGAGCCTAAACTCCCTACACCTGTAGCCCTCGTTCTGTCCGTCAGCGCCAAGCCCAGAAGATCGCCGACGATCCCCCGAAAAACCTCACAGCAGCTGTCAAGAATAAAAGCAGATGAGGGTTTGGGGTTTAGAAGAGGGCTTAGGGTTGCCTCTTTAAGGCCTATTACAAGGGATCTATAATCTATAATATGGGGGCATAAGTAATTGGAATCGGGTTTAGGGGTATGTTGTGCGATGGTTGTACGGAGGAACCCTGCGGGCTACGGCCTGAAGTAAGGGCTCGAAGCGTCAAACTCTGAAGCCTAAATGAGACAGTCAGTGGCACGAGGGCTCTAAATCCAACAACCTTCCATTCGCAACCATGGTTGAACCACCCACAGCAACTATCGCCACCCTGCTGTCAGCTTCTTGCACACCTGACGGCTGAATGCAGCCCCGAGGCTAGTAGCACAGACATGGCAACCTGGCAGTTCTCATGAACTTTAGGGGCCTTCACATACTGCAGTATATTGATGCGGAGACGATAAGGGAATATATTCAAACCTCTTTAATTAATGGGATTTTGGGCGTTGGAGCTTTGTGTCTTTGTGTTTAGAGGTAACGGTTTAGGGCTTAGGGCTTTCGGGCTTTCGAGACCGTGGTCCACGACTTGTGGCTTTAGAGTCGTAGACATCGTTTACTGGAGTTAGGAACAAACTAATAGCAAAGGAAAATCAGTTGTGCTTGTAGCAGTACTGATGGCAACATTAACGCACCACAGAGGCAGGCACCTGACAAGGATTTGTTATTCTCGACAACAACAACAGCAGCACCACCAGCACGATCAGGAGAATCATAATCACCATCATTGGCAACAACGACAGCAGCTGCCTGCATGCACCTAAGGCTCCCTTGTCCTGTTTGCTCTGGCGCTTCGATTCTGCCAAAATCTGTGATTCAGCAAAAACCAGGCTCCTTCAGTTCCAGTGGCATCGAGCTGCGCATCGCGAAGGATGGCCCAGTTGGCAAAGGTGTTCCAACCTCGCCGGCGGCAGGCACATCGTGCCCTCTACACTGTGTTGTCGAATCAACATCGCAACGTCATGGACTGTTGGTTTTCTTGTTTCCTTACATGATTTGCAGACGCCATGGTTCGGAAACAATCAGTATTCTGCGTTCAGTTCTCTGTGCCGGCATTGCACTGTCCAGCGCTGGAATTCGACAGACGCATTTCAGACCGTTCTACTTGGAAGGGAACGCTTGCGGAGCAGACTGCATCAGCAGATCGAAAACAAGGTAAATCAAGATGATATAGCACCATTTCATGCATGCGCTCCCTGTTGCTTTAGCATTGGAGGCTCTCTGCAAGATGCCACTTTGACAGAGGGACCTGCGCTGTCTTCGGCTAGATCTGGCACAATCGCAGCTACCACCAACCAAGGTAAGCATGCCAACGACCTTTGTATGAAATTCGCTGAAACCCTAAACCCTAAACCGCGGATACCGGATCGCTCGTGCAGCACGGGCCCGACAGACCATGATTTGACTTAGCGAGTCTCTGTCATCTTCCCATAGTTCCCATTGCAGTTCATTTTTTTTGTTGGGGGGGGGGATTAAGACTACCTTAATTTTAGGATCCTAAGTATCAGACTTTTTCAAACAAAACCAGGAACTGCAATGGAGACTGTTAGGAGCGTCCCAAGGCGTAGCTCGACTAGCAGAGCCCAGATCGGTGCAAAGAAAGTTGAGCATAATAATATTAGCGAATAACGATATTTTCGTAATTAATCATAAAGAATGCTGACTAAAAATATGGTCAGCTTTCTTTGCGCCGTGGCTCTCGCAGAGGTTGGTGATGTGCACCCGTCGGTTTGCTGAGCGCCATGGGGCTCGGAGAAGGTGGTGACGTGGCTCACTGGAGTAAGCCACCAAGGACAAGGTGTCGGGCTCGTCGTTGGACAGCATGACGAGGACTGGCGATGCCAGCCAAAGCACGACAATGCTCTGGGCTGGCATCGTCTTGATGCGAACCTTTCCTTCCTGCGGATCGCTTCGCTGTGCCGCTTTGTGTGCATAGACGACGCAGTGTGCCGGAACTCCTCCGGAGCTGCACAAGTCATCTCCTGTATGACAACCTGCTTGAATCCTCGCGCTGATTCGTCGCGGCGCTGCCCCTCACTCGATCTCCACGGTCGCGTTTCTGCACACAAGCTGTTCAGGCATCAGCGTCCCTCTGCCGGCCTGATCGCACCAGACCCTTCAGGTTGACCCAAACTGACCAATGTTGCTCTGGTTACCATCTGAGCTCGATCAGCAAGACGACACTTTTCCAAAGGCTGCGCCAAAACAGGCAAGTGTGATACATCTGTTGGATTGAAAAAACATTGGAGTGTCAGGACTGGTAGCAAGTCAAAGGAGGCTCCATGTCGCAGACTCGAAGACTGCACATCACTGCCCGTAGCCATTACAGGAGGCACCGGCTCGACGTAACACCGGCACTCACCGGCGTCCCGGCTGCAACCTAAATCCCTGCTTGACCGCTTGCAATAAGCCGATTTGCAGTCCCTTTGAGTCGCGCCCAGCTCTGCCAGAACTGTCTTAGCCTGCAGCGGCAAACTAAGCTTTGCCAGCTGCTAACCCAACTCTCTCAAAAAGGGTGTAGCAGTTAGGGTTTCAGGTTCAGGACTATAAGAAGATGGAGTCAAGTTTACGCAGGAGGACAAATCAGCATGCTGGCGTACGTTCTCGGCTTGCAGCAGACAGTTTTCTGGAGGTGCTCCCGAGGGTGGCAGCACCATGTGGCACATGATGCGGCTGCTTCAGACAAGAGACATTCCGGGTTGAAGGAATCCTCGAAGCTCGAGCAGAGCCGCTTCTTGCCCTTGGCTGGCGAGATGGCCGTTTGGATACGACAGCATCATCCAACATCCGTGTAGAACAGCTGAACCCAGACTCAGCCAGCGATCGCACCATAAAAGGGACCTGCCTCGAGGGAGGCACGTGTCGCAACGTCCAATGGCAGGAGCGGCAGACCTGCGATGCTAAGAGGCCTGGAGGCATATCACTGAATATGTTCTTGACATTGTATATATTAGAAAACATCATGCTAAACTTGACGATATCATATGATTTTGTAAAGTATAGGGCTTCGGGTCATTGAATTATGTAGAGTCAGGTAGCTCCACCCATGCTTCGGAATGTCCCAGCAGATGTTTGCCTTGATGGAACATCGCATAGGCCAACAGGAGCGGAGGAACCTGTCACTGTCAAGGGAGCCCTTAAGCCTTATGTAACTAGGGCCTCGGGGTATATTATACGATAGTCATGCAGGGACTACAAGGGAATACTATCGTTAATCTTTCCGACCCGTATTTTACATTGCTATTCTCCAAACCAGGGATTCGAGAAAACCCTAAACGGCCCTGAGCCCTGAGAAGCTCTGAGGCCTGACGAAGGGCCTTCCGCCAGAGTCGGGCAGCCTGTCAGGTGCGAAAGGCTGCCAAAACGTTTCGCGTTTGTCAGTACAAGCCATGCCGATAGTTGTAGTATAGTGGTCGTCGTTGTTCTCGCGGCGGTGGTGTGAGACAGTCGTCGCAGTCTTCGTCTTGCAGTAGTATAAGTACAGTACCGGTACTAGAGCTGGTACTGGTACTGGTGCTGTGCTGGGCCTGCTAGTCATCGTAGTAGGACGAGCAAAGTTACAAAGCAAAGGAGCAAAAACGCCAAATCTCTTCGCCCGACTCTGACACTGCTCTCCTCTTTGAAACCAAAACAATGTGTTCCAAAACAGAGTATAACACTGAACAACTTAGTCTCGCAAAATCTCGCTCTCATGATTACTAGTCCGTGTCATTTGACAGTTCTTTTCTTCTTGTTCGGCCTCGATGATTACAATGGCCGCTACTATGGAAATCTGAAAACTACCCCTGTGCTGCTCCGAGCTGCACCCCAGCGGAGCCATGCCCCAGCACCCCCACCACGGCGGCGTTGCTCCTCCAGGTTGGGAAATGCTGAGGTCGAACAGTTTGGAGGAGTGCAGAAGCCTTTATGTTTACGTCTACTTCTAAGCTCATTAATCTTTTGCAATACTTGCTAATTAGTATACACAATTTTCATATTGCCTAGAGTAACATACATACATGCATGCATACATACAAACATATCATATTGCAGATTGTAGAGGCATTTCGAGGCCAGTGATACAGCAAGGGCTTGTCTACAACCCTTGCACGCTCTTCAGCCCTAAATCTTCATGCCCTGCACGAATCTCACACTCAGAGGGCCTCGAAAGAGCGGTTCATCAGGAATACCTGGGTTAGTGTCTGAGGGATTCACAAGCCATCGAAAAAGGTTGTGCTTGGGGCTGCGACTCTAAAGCCACTGAACATTCACGGTGGGGGTGGTATAATACCATCATGGTCTGCCCCGGGTACTTTACTTGGATCCGTGATGTAAAGAACCCCTTAAAGTAAACCCGAGAACATCGTTAAGCAGTTGTGAACATTCAGATTTGGGTGGAAATGGGAGCGCTTCTCCGAAGACCTTTTGTTTTCTGGGTGCTTCTGTTGCGACGATGTATCGTTGGACACCTGGACATACCACAGCTTGCAGAAAGCTCTTCTAAACTGCAGTCAGGGCCTTCGGCCTTGCATGTCTGAATCTGAGTCACAAGCTGAATCCTTGTACTGCCCCATTTGTTCAGCCAGTGGCGCCGAAATGGCAGAGAAGACAGAGCTGTAGAGGATGCACAGGTGCCTGGCTTGCCGGTTCTGGGCTCTGCCAATGGAGGGATTCTGACGAAGAGTATCATAGCATCCCACCAGCGAAGCTATTGCTTTTTGGGCCCCATTGTAATTTGATACCCTTACCACAGCAGCAGCAGGCAGGAAATTAATGCGCCATCGATCGCAGACAACACATTAGGGCAAATCATTAGGGCTGTTGCTTCCTCATACAACCCGAAACCCCAAACATCCTACACCCTAAACCCCAATGCGTGTAACCATGAATGCTAAACCCTAAACCCACCCGTAAACCCCTAAAGCCCCACACCCCAAAAACTCAACATACCTTCCCTTCCAAGATGCTGCAGCCGGCGAGCGAGCCATGGCATGGATGCGACCTCCACAGAAAAGGCTCGTAAGGAGACGCCCAAGGATTCTATAAGGCTTCGCTAAGGGTTCCTAAGGGGATATATGAGGGTTCCAAAAGTGGTTGTGCATAGAGGTTCTGCAAGGGTTCTATACCTGCTCTCGGCGAGAAGATGAAGAGAGATTGGAGTCTAAGGATGAGCAAGGAAAGAGGAAAGAATCAGATAAGCTCTAAGCTTAAACCTTGGCAGCTGGCCTTAGCGAGGTCTCGCTTCAAGAAAAACACGTGGTACCTGGGCGATGAGAGTGATTGTTGAGTCTGGGGGGTTAATTAAGAATATGAGGGGATGGTGGGGCTTGTGGGGAGAAGGGTCTCCAGACGAGGAAGAAAATCAATGCAGGGAGGAGGGCAACCGGGAGCAGCAGTTGCATCTACCCCCGTCAACTACGCAGCGCCATGGAAGCGCCATGTATGACTGTGGCAGAATCTCATCCTTTTGTATACAAGTACCAGGATTTCGTGATGTAGGGGTCTGAATGGTTAGTAGTACTATCCTCTTGTAGTCTCTATCCCAAAACCTATTCCAATCAAAAAGCTGCCTATATCCAACCCACAAGAACCTGTAACGACCCTTATTCAAACAGTTAATACTCTAAAACCCCGTCCAGAACCCTATTCTGGCCATTGAAGCCCCTAACCCCGGAGCCCTAAACTCTTAAACCCTTATCGAACCCTACTCTGGTCATTCCGGAGCCCTGAGTCTTCTCCTCGCCAAACGGCCCCAGGATGGCCAGCGTGCCCACTGCTCTCAAAGCAGAGACAGCCTTGTCGGAGGAGGGGTTCAGGGATTAGGGGTTTAGGGCTCAGGGCTTCGGGTCTAGGAACTAAGGGTTTCAGGTTTAGGCTGTAGGGTTGAGGGGCTAGCGTTCAGGGTTTAGGGGTTTAGGCTTCAGCCGATTTCCGGAAACTCTTTCCGAACCAGAACTCCCTGGCTCGGAGGATCTTGGTTAGAAAGGTCACCGTCACCGCAAATCCCCACACGGTTCCCTGAGAGAGCCTCCCCATAATGACACCGACCTAACACATCACACCATTTTCGGAACGAGCCCCATATACACTCACCAAAAATCCCTAAGTGCAACATCACATGACTGACACTCTGACCCTACCCTCCTCCGCAAATGCGCAAGAGTCAGACGAACCCAAACCACCACTCTGCCTCCAAGTGGCCTTGAAGAGGAAGCTGGAAAAGCCTGCTGGAGTAGAGAGGATTTGGCATCTTAGGCTTGGGTTTCCCATTTAATCAGGTTTGGGGCTTTGGGCTGAGGGTTTAGGCTGGAACAAAAGCAAAGCCTCTGGTCGAGACTCTGCCGGCTGTGGCATCAGAATGCATGACGGCGCCTTCAGCCATCGTAGAGCAGAGATTAGCTAAGAAAGGGGCCTGAACAATTCGAAGGGGACTTTTTGGTGGTATATGCAACTATAACAATAACGCTAGGGAAGGCACGACTGATTGTCTCGGCGTGTACGTTAGCTGACTCACACCAGCAACTCAGCATACCATGGTAGTGATAACATGTCCTAACAAGTGGAATCCAGAGCCGAGTTGTCAATAGGCAATCTCATGCACATTACACAGCTACAATCCTCAATAGCACGAGATCAACACCAGAATATACAGTTGCACCGCGAATCGAAAGAAAAGATCATCAAGTAGTCATATATGAAACCAACCATCGAAGTGACGCTGTTTCAGTATTGCTCCGAAAACCCCAACCCCCCAAAACCCCAACCCCCTAAACCCTAAATTACTAAACCCTACGAACCCCTAAACCCTAAACCCCTAAACCCCTAAATCCCTTTAAACCCAGCCTGGAGATTTGGCACCTGAGCCCGAGGTCCTTGCCAGGGCCCCACGAGACAAGGTCGCAAGCGGTGCCAAACCTCCACAGGAGGTTTCAGCGCACAGGGGCCTTAATACTGAGATCAGGGTTTAGGGCCTAGGGTGTAGAATTCAGAGTTTTGGGGTGTATTTTACTGGAACTATGTAGGGACTATAGAGGAATATGTTGGTGTTATGCTGCAGGGGCTGCAAGCATTCGGGTTCAAAACTGTGGGCTCGGACATGCCATGAGGAAGGCGCGCAGAGCCCGGAGCAGCATCACAGCACAGCGGAAGCAAGAGGCCACCAGCCCACTACGACCATGCGAACGCCCAAACTCTAAACCCAGAGCCCTACGCCCGACACTCCAATCCCCAAGCCCTACAAGCCCTAAACCCCAATCCGTTAACCCTGAGCCCCAAATCCCATTCCCTGAACCCGAAGCCCTAAACCCCAATCCTAAACCCTTATAATCCCGAAATCCCAGTCCCTGAGCACGAACCCCAATCCTTGAACCTCGAAACCTCACTTCGAAATCCTCAAAGTGCCACAGGTCCCGAGCGCCAGACGCGGCCGGCAGCAACAACCAGAGCCAGTGAGCTGATGGCCAGCGAAGCGAGAAGTCGGAGGCCTCTTTGGGTATAAAGGACGGGTAGCTGATGTAGTAATGTAATTAGTAATGTAGCTATGTAGTAATAAAGCAGTCTAGTAACATACGGGAGCATATTCAACATAGTGGATATAGTGAATGGAGCAAGAATACTAAAGATAGTAAATTGATATAGGGCATACATATAGCAACGCAGTACTGCAGAAATGCAGTAGAAAGCTGGTAAAACAATAACGGAATCTAGATGTATAGCTATGTATAGCTCTCTCTCTCTCTCTCTCTCTCTCTCTCTGGCTTCTGCATGTCAGCACAGCTGCCCTGTGCAGAGTGGCCTCTACCTCGAGGTCGAACAGCTGCCCGGTGAAACCCTCGAAGCGTAGGAGGAAGTCCAAGTATGCTGGGGCCAGGCTCACCTGGTTTAGGGTTTAAGGTTTAAGGTTAAGGGTTTAGTGGTCGGAGCCGAGGGTTTGCTGAAGGCTCATGCAGTCGGAACCACTCTGCAAGGACTGACCGGAAAGCTCGGCGCACTCACATTGCATCCCCCGTCCCCTTCAAGTCTTTCTCAAAAGCCACTTCCAGCATAGCATGCATTTCCATGTGCAGAGCTGCGACTTCCGAAGCCCAAAGGCCCAGGTCATCGCTACAAGACTTTCTTCCTCCCAATCTGCTTAGCAAAATCTCCATGGTAGCGAGATCCAGTCTGTATACACATACACGCATCTACCCGATCAGCACTGTATGCCCAAAGCATGAGCTTCAAGCTCTAGGGAAGCCAAGGCATCACACTGTAAGAGGGAAGATCTTAGATGCTCCTACTTCATGAAGGAGGTTTCAGGGTTTAGGGCTTCCTATGGATCTGCTGCAAGAAGTGTGCCTCTACGTGGCCCTCATCGCAATGTCGAGGAGTGCAGAGGCCAAAGTAGACCTGGCGCTGCAAGTAGTGGTGCCATAGGGGTACGATAACCGTCGCGATAAAGCATCGATGGCAGCGGCAGCAACAACAACAACGACAACAACAACAACAACAACAGCCGGAGCAACAACAACCATAACGAAGTAGTGCGACAGCAAGATCTGCATATGTCATGGTGAAGGATCACACCTGCACGTCGTGACCTAAAGCTTTATGGAAACCTCTGGCTGCGGCACTGCAAACTGCGAGAAATTGCTCCGGGTCTGAGTGTTAGGTGTAGTGTAGTGTAGTGTAGTGTCTAAGGGTCCGCTCACTGCGCTTCTCCCTTTATCAGAAACCCGAACATGTGTCCTCTCCGCTCATGCTTGTGACTCCCGTAGCTGCCAGCTTGGTGACAGAACGTCATCCCCAAGGCGTCAAGTACCGCTATAACCCTGCAACATGACGCAGAATCGCATGTGGGTCAGGCCACATCCGGCTGCCAGTGTCCCTGCTGAATCTGGTACCGTGCTGACACCTTGATCTGGGGTGCTTCTGTACGGTTCCGGCATAACTCCAGGTTTGCATGGCGGCATCTGTGCAACTGCTCATACAGTAGTAACAATGCCAAAAGCAGGATGCTGCTCGTCATACTTTATTTGCTGGAACTGACATGTCTTGCTTTCTAGTTGGTGCGGTGGCTACTGCTGTTACTGCACAGTAGATGATAATAGTAGAAACAGCGGTGTGGCGGAGGCGGACAAGCATGAGCGTGCTCTTCTGATTGGTGCAAGATGTTGCCATTATAGATCTCACGCTGATCTCATTATTAAATCATCACTACTGTTGTAGATCGTGTTGTCGCGGTGATCATGGCGGCGTTTGTGGGCAGCGGCGACGGTGACACTCATCAAAGGGTGGTGGTGGTGGTGGTGGTGGTGGTGGTGATGGTGGTGGAAGAAATGGTGAAAGTGCTGGTAGGGTGGTAGTGGTAGTGGTGGTAGTGGTAGTGATGGTATGGGCGGAGGAGGGCACTGGTGGCGCAGTTATTGCTATTGCTGTTGTTGTTGCTGCTTCTGCTGCTACTCGCCGCTGTACGGTTCCTACTGCAGCAATAGCACTGCGGCATCAACAATAGTACCACCTGCTCCTCCTGTATCAGTGACTCCAGAAACCTTTCTTGGAAGGCATCTCATAGTTCTCAGCTGCACTAGATGATATGTTGATATACAAGAAATGTTTGCCGAACTCCGGCGCACCTGTACTGTTCCGACTCAGAAACCTACAATCTCCAAACATGAACCAATCCGAATCATCCAGGAGGATGTGCCGAACCCACTAACCAGTCAGCCAACGGACCTATTGCTTCAGCCGCAAAATACTTGCAGAAACCTGAACAGTTACCTATGTAACCTCAGTGTTGATCTCCTATTCGCAAACCCCAAAGCGCTCTTCCTTTTATTCAAGTTCCAACATTATTAATGCCCAGAGCTGGTGAACGGCACCCTCTCAACCTGCGCCCCGGGCTGTAAAGAAGCGAAAGCCTCGTGCAAGGCAGCCATCAGCATCGCCTCTCTAGAGAGTTTTTCTGTGGAAAGGTCCTCCTGAAAACACCCCAAGCCTAGACCCTAAACCGTAAACCCCAGCCCTGAATGGTCGGTGGCCAGTTCACAGCCCCACAACTGGCAGTGGCCCCACATCCACTTTTATGCCTCTGCCTCAGTAAAGCTGTACGACGAAGCAGTGGCTTACAGTGCCCAGCCCAAAGATGCCCGAACTCGTGTCGCGCCACTCGTGGAAGCGGTGACCACCACATTCCGGGCCTTTGTAGGCCCACTGGTCGAACCCCCCTGGGCAGCGCTTGCAGATTGCATAACAGCACATTTGTGCTTTCTCAGACATCGTCTTAGCAATCAAGGATGCTCGCTCGATGCAGCAGTCCTTGCTTCCGTCGGGAAATGCCGTAATTGACTGACGTATACTGTCTTCGCAGCCCTGGCGGAAGGCATCACGGTTCAGGCCACGTGAAGCCGATGAGGAAGGCATTAACTCCAAATAGCAATAGCAACACTCGGAGATCCATGATTTCTTGCTGTTGTTGCAGCTGGTCGCCATGTAACCCCAATTGTTGCCACCTGATTTCCCACCATACACAATGCCGAGGAAGGGAGTTGAAGTGCAGCTCGTCAGCAACGCTGTCATGTTGTCTAGCTTGTCAAGGCAGTTGCCCGCGCAAGGCTGGGCCTGGAGTTTCTGGTAAACATGGGACACATCACGTGCAACCTGAACATCTGGCTTTACGCCTTGGCCTTGGACACTGGGTTCGCACCAATTTTGCTCCACGATCCTGCGGATCGTCGTCTCATCCGGAAAGTCGAGTTTGGTGGCCACGTGAACGGCGCGCCCATCGGTGAGAAAGCGACAGAACGCCGCGCAAGCAGAAGGGCCGAGGCTGGAGGGTGTTCCCGGCAAGCAGACCTCCAGGACTTTCAGGCATCCCGGCTGAGGACGCATGCGCCCGGACTGATACCAGCATTCGAGATCTTTCAGCATGTCCGACACTGTCCGAGTTTCATCCTTCCAGCTGGATTGCAGATTCCCCCCAGTTATCCGGATCCCACACCTCTGCTTCACTTTCTGAGGCAGCTCCACCATAGCCAGAACCCTCCGATTTCGCTTGACTAAGTCAGTCAAGGGCTTCGGCAGGTCCTCGTTCTCAAGGAGCTGAGGACCCAGCAACTCATCAAGCGTAGTCTGCACTTTGGACCATGTCTCCTTCTGACTCAGACTGAAGGCACGTCAGGCATCTACTTGGGGAGTATTTCTGTGCGTAGATATGCTCCATCTATATGTTTGAATATATGTATATGTATATGTATA